CATGTTGTATAGATTCGTGTGTTGTGCAGTGCTTTTCTTTTCCAATTTTATTATACTGTGACTTTTTTCTCTACATTGATTCCTATTGGAAAAATAGTTTCGGTTTGCGAACATTTCGGGTTACGAATGGCCTTCAGGAACGAATTAAATTCGTGAACCGAAGTTCCACTGTATATATTATTCAAACTATTTTTCTTCTATCGTAAACAGTAGCAGCCGCCATTGAAAAAGTTAAATGCCTTCTGGAGAACGGTTGTTAGCAAGCTATGGAAGCGGGTTCTATCTTCTCTAGACGGTTAGTAATTTGTGCCTTGAGCCAAATTAAGTTAAGCTTAATAGTTATTTGTTTGGTGCGTTTGTAATAGAGAAAGTGTCCGAAATGCAGTTAACTTGACTGTCACAGAAAGTTCCAATATTGTGACACCGTACATAATGAAAAGATCTAAAGCGTTTTAAATAGTTTCGTTTCATGTAACCGAAATAATTTTCTCAAATTCCGGGTGTTGAATGTTCCCGTCTCTGGTTTACGAGTTTTCTTTTCTGTTGATTCATTTAAAAAATTCTGATGACGTCTGTATTTTATTGAAGTCGTTATTTATTTTATTTTATTTTTATTTACATCAATTTACACACCTGTTCCGTTTGAAGAAGGAAAGGCAAGGATCAACATCAAATAATCATTTTTCTTTTTATATCTTTTAAATTCCTGATCCAGTCCTCCAGTTCCTCTAACTCTCCTTCTTTCTACTCTTCGCTCTGTCACTCATACACACGCTCGAATGTTTTTTTCATGTTGCATCTTCTCATTCCCCCTCTCTAAATTTCATCTCACCCTCTTCTTTCACCTCCTTTCACTTTTTCGTTATACGCTCCTTTTTTTTTTCTCCACTTTTTTTTTATTTCTCTTTCAATTTTCTCTACCCTTTTCAGTATATTTTCTTTCTATCCCATTTTTACTCCTCTTCATCGTCTCATTTCGTCCATTTCAAATCATCTTTCTTTTAGATTTTATCTACATGTTTCCTCTTCCTTTCCCGCCACACATTTTCCGAAACCTTCCTCCCACCACTGTTGCATCTTTCAATCTCGTTCACTAATTCTTTTCGTCCCCCAACCCCAGTCTTCCCAACTCTCTTCTTATCTCTCACTCTAATTTTTCTTCGCCTTTTCTGTTCAATCCCACCTCTTCCCGTCTCTGGCTTACTTTCTTTTATGATAGATCAGTGTTAACAAATACGCCAGGGTATCTCCCCTCCACGTGTCTCCAATACAACGCACACGTACCTAATAAAGATATAATAAAAAAAAGTACAAACAAATTAATAAATCGATCAATGCCTTTAATGAAGCAGGTGACGCTTTTATGATTGGATCCGATGCTTTCTGGTCTTCGTGGCAATAATTACTGGCCATTCGCTTTTCTTTATAAACCCTAACGCGGCCCGATGTTCGGGTAGGAATCCATCGAAGACAACAACATAAGTTGATCCTTATTTGGGCAAAGAACAAGTGACGCCAGAGAGTGTCAGGTAGGTCGAATCCTTTCTTGGTTCAAGGGAATGAATACTATGAAGAAAAAATGGTCTTTAATTAAATGCTTACTATGATGATTGGTCAATAGTGTGATTCACTTAATGCTTCAAGTGACTGGTGAAATTCAACCTATTCTCAAAGTGTTTTTTTTAAATCGATGCATAATTTGGGGCATATATTAATTCGTGATTGGCTACTTCTGATGAAGTACTATTCCCATTAAGGGAACTGGTTATTGAACCAAATATTTCACATTAGGTTAGAATGTTTCGATCCTAATTTGTTATTTTAAACCTACGATAAATTATGTAAAGAGCAGATAGAAGGAGGAAGATAGAGGCACGTTAATCTTCCGCATAAAGAGGATCAGCCTTGAAAATCAGTATTCGAAATTTGGGCTTGTACCTGGATTCGAACTGTAGAAAATATTGCATTATTGCAATCAATAATTAAGCTCTAACAGATAGATAGATAGATAGATAGATAGATAGATAGATAGATAGATAGATAGATAGATAGATAGATAGATAATGAATAGGCTTAGATAGATAGATAGATAGATAGATAGATAGATAGATAGATAGATAGATAGATAGATAGATAGATAGATAGATAAAGTTTTATTTACTTTCCATTGTTTAAAATACGTCTTCCATTTCACTTCTGTTGTTATTGAACGAAATTACAGAAAACGTTGACTTCTTTCTCTTTCAATGTTTGCTTTTATTTTTTCCTCGTCTCTTGCGCTTAAGGGAAAAAAATCATTTCACTGTGAACAACCCCTCCCTCACCATAAGCCATCACGTGCAAATCTCCTTACATTATGTTCCCAAAATAAAAACTGGGTTTTAATGTGGCAAAAGTGTAAACAATGACGTTTCCATTTTCCTTCTTGAAATTAAGAAACTTTTCCACCCGTTCTTAATTCTGTGTGAAACCCTTTGAAAGTACAAAACTGCTTCATTGA